GTGAAACAGCAGCTCTCCCTTAGTTACACAACCTCTTAGTGGAGAGTGAGACTGTGGCCATTGTAAGTGGTGTGTTGAATTAAGAGCGGCAGGGCTGCGTCCCCGGCACCCGGCCGCCCGCATGGCAGGCTTATGCCCAGAAATAATTACACGGAAACTGTATTCTTTCAAACACTGCCTGGCCCGGCTAGTTCCAGTTTCTTATTGGTTAGCTCTTACATATTGTTCTAACCCATTTCTAATATTCTGTGTAGCCCACGAGCTGGCTTACCAGGGAGGATCTTAACCTGTTTCTGTCTGGAGCGGGAGAATCATGGCGACTCCTCGACTCAGCTTCTTTCTCCCAGAATTCTCTTCTGTATACTCCGCCTACCTAATTTTCTACCCAGTAAAATGGACCAAGGCAGTTTCTTTATTATAATTAACCAATGTCCTTCCTCCATCAGTGGTGACCAAATCAAAGTCACGCGAGAACTACCTTTGCAAACCTGAATAGTGTACACAGAATGAAATCAAAGTACCTGCCTTCCAAAGCCAGGTCACAATGTATGATATAGCCTTGAGATTGCAGAATACCAGAAATAAATACTTACACTTTAATGATGACTTATTTAGTACAATTGTCCAGCCTTCATCAGCAACCAAAATAATAGGTTGAATTCGATCACTATGTTGGTAGTGAAATCTGGCAGGAATATCTTCTTTGAGATAAACATTCATGTGAGGGCTACAGTGTTTCAGTTTGTCATAAACCTCTGTTACATCTGTAAAAGGGATACGAAGGGGAAAACTGTGACTTAGAAGCTAAGCTATATCTGACTAGTGTAAATAGAAATACAATTTATTTAAGACAATATTAGCTGGTTGAATTATTTTATTCTCAAAACAGAGAGCAATCAATCATGTGGCAGTGTCAGAGATGGGCACGCACACACAGGACTTTCATTCACCTGCCTATCTCTCTTCTTTATGTAGCCTGTGCTGGGTGTCTTAGAGAGGGAACAGTTTTACACTGAGTATCCTAAGCAAATATAAACTGTGTATTACTACTGATTACTAATTCTATCAAGGGAAGAAATGCCCATCTTACTCAAAGAGCTACTTACTTCTTTTGGGAAGAATCGCAGCCACAGGGGTCAGGTCTATAAGACTGTAGTTTGAGGGGTCGATGCAGGCGTCCAGATGTATCAGTCTGTTCTCAGAGCACTGAGTCATCCCGTGATCGCTTGTGATGATCACATTAAGGTTTTCCCACAGTCCTAACTCCTTGAGTTTTTGTACCAGATCACCAATAAGTCCATCTATTTCTCTCAACACCCTGCTCATGTTTCCTTTATCTTCAGGCCCGTATTTGTGGCCGCTTGCATCTGGTTCTTCCCAGTAGAGCGTGGCGAAGGTGACGGGTGGGTTGGAACTACTGAGCCAGGAGGTGACATTATTGAGTCTCTCCTCAAAGGGCACTGAGCTGCTGTAGCTCATAAAATAGGAAGGTGTAGTATTGTGGATGGGCACATCAGTTCCGGGCCACATGGCAGCAGCACTTGATCTGTTTCCTTGAAGCTGATTGGTCACCCAAATTGGCACTGCCCCATCCCACCAAAATGGATCCTTATCATTAGACTCAGAAAAATGTTTCTTTGTGACGCCATCATACATGGTGTTGGCCACAATGCCGTGGCTTTCCTCGTATAAGCCTGTCACGATGCTGTAATGGTTTGGAAATGTTTTTGTGATAAAAACGTTTGTAACATGTTCCACCAAGACACCTTCTTTGATAAAGTTCTGGAGGTGAGGAAGGTCATAGTCCTTCAGGTAGTCAGCTCTAAAGCCATCAAAGGACACCAGAAGTAACTGCGGGGTCAAGCTATAGGAAGAGTTACCTCTACAGTCAGCTACAAGTCCCAGAAATAAAAGTATTACTAATAACTTCATAACGAACACGTTGAACACAGCAGCCAGGGCTCCTAAAATATAAAAACACATCTAGGAATTAGTAACATTACTTAAGTTTCAGGAATTTAACCAACAGAAGAGAATTAACAGTTACAAATTCTTGACATCCCAGCTTTACTGATGTCAACTTAAAACTTTAATTTAAAAACAACAATAAAGTTGAAATACAGAAAAAAAAATTGCCTTGCCTTGTCCAGTTTCCAACTGATACCCGTCCCACACATCGTCAAGCTGTGGAGGGAACATGGGATATTTTTCTGTCCCTATAAACATTCCTGCTTATCTATTTTGCTCATCCAGAGCAGGAGAAATTATTCTAAAGGTTTATGAAAAATAGATAAAAATATAAGAATGATTCTTTTGTTCAAAATACAAATAATTCCAAGCTTCCAGGCGTTTTTCTTCGTTTTCATAGCTGTAGGAATTCCACCATGCTGGCTCATCACCAGTTTGTATTTATAAAAAAATACTGCTATCAAATAGAGACAAAATAAATGCTACCTGAGGAGGGAAATCTCATTGGACGTTTGCTCCAATTTTGACATGAAGTTGACTAGTAGACAAAACTTGTAAGGACTTGGATGCCACAGTGAAAAGAAACTGAAGTTACTAAAAAAAAAAAAAACTTCATCTCTATATCACTCTTAAACTTTCATTTACTGCTTTAGTTATGACTATTTTTCCTAATTTTCCAGATTCACGGTTATTCTTAATTACTCTTTAAAAAACGATCCGTTGGTTACTGGATTGATCATGTGAAATTTTACAGTGTCTAAAATGTTTCGAATATAGTTACATCTAATGAGAAATGAGAAAGGCTGCAATCAGAGCTGGGCCGCCGCGCACAAAAGAATTAGCATGGTGCCCCGTATCCTACAACATGGAAAACTTAAATCCATCACAGACCTGCATGAAAGCTAAAGCTGTAAAGTTCTTAGGGGAAAATCAAGAAGTGAATCTTCATAAACTTTAATTATGTCTAAAAACTTAGATGTCATGACAAAAACACAAGCGAAAGATGGATTCACAAGTGGTGGCTTCCTGTGTGAGTCTACTCAGCTGAAATGCTTAGAAGGTGTGATTCCACAGAGATAGGACAGCAGGCATAGTTACTTAGGGGTCGGCGTGTGAGAACTGAGAACGCGTCAGTAATACCAATGGGAGGGAAGTTTCTTTTGGGGGTGGTGAAGAGTGTTTTCAGATTGACTGTGATGATGGCGATAATTTCATACAGCTGTACACCTAAAGGAGTGACTTCAACAGCATGTTCTTATATATCAACTGTATTCTTAAATGTCCCACCACAAAATAGCAAACATCTTTATCATCTCATTTTACCTCAAAAATGGTGTGAATTATCTCATAATGCAGATTTGGCCGTTTTAACATGAGATTTTTGTACTACTTCCTATATGCAAAACAATAACACAAAACAAAACCTGTGTTTATCCTTTTCCTACAAAATACAAACGAAAATCTTTCTTCCCCAAATCCTGAAGAGAAAAGGCTATTCAATACATATGCTACCACAGAGCCCAGGAGCAGGAAAACTCTGCAGACTGGATACAAAAGCAGTCCTTGTCTTTAAGCTTAGCACAGTATGCTTTATTCTAACACCGAGCCCTAAGCTATAAGCAAAAAGGTCCTCAAACTACTTTCAAAGAATAAGATAGCCATGGTTCCAACAAGAAAATTATAAAATACTGCAAGAAATTCTGTAATATCCCAAGGAATAAACAAGCAGATACATCTGGACTGCATGCCAGTAACTGGAAATACGATGGAGTCTCCAATTTAGAAGACAAAGCATCCCTTCCCTCTTCTGGGTTGACTGTCTTGCCTGGATGCAATGCAATGTCAATCAACTCTCACTGAATCACCTAGGACATTATAGGCTTCGGTTGGGGTTGGATGAGCGCAAGGTAAAAGCCGCTTTCCAGTATCAGAATTCCATCTGCTCTGTGGTGCAATGAAATACAAAAGTGGCTTTAAAATAGCGTGATCCATTATTACCTGTGTGCACAGTGACATAATGGGTGGGTTACCCAGAGATTTTTATTAAGTGCTTAGCAATCTAAGGGAAGAAACCCAACATCCCGAGGCCTTTCTACATCTTAAAAGAATTTAAGATTCTAAATGGCCCTCACTCCTGTCTCCGACCTCCACTGTTCTAGCCCATATAAGATTTTCTAGCATCTTTAAGTCAGTACATCTATCTTGTATATCTGTGTATAAAATGCCCTTCTTTACTTATTGTAGACCCAACAAAATTTCTTCCTAAGTATGCTGCGTGAAACTGATTTTAAAATTAGTTGATGAGAAAGGGGTGGGTACTCCAGAGCGTGGAGTTCCTTAAAACTGAGAAATCTCTGGGAAAACGGGAAGAAAGAAAAGGCTTTCCTGCAGCAGATCGGCCCTCTGGAGTCGTACCGAAGGTGTACCGGAATTTTCCGGTCACGAGCTGGTCAGCCCTCAAGGCTCAGGGCTGGGACCAGCGTGCGACCGGTTGTTTGTGCAGCGCCTGACCCAGCATCCGGCATCTCCCTCGGCTCGCTCTCTATTTTTTTAGGACCGGAACGACATTCGACACCAGGACAGTACTAACCCCGGGGCGGACGCCGCCTGTCCCGACCCCCGTCCTCACCTCACGCCACCGTTCCCAACCCTCCACCTGCCGGGGTCGGCGCCACCTCCCCGAGCATCCCCCGCGCGTCCCCTCCAGGCGACCGGAGCCTCGCGTGGAGAAGGGAGCAGAGGCTCTCGCGGTCACTCCCCTCCGCCCCCGGGAAGCCGGGGAAGGGAGTGGCATTTCCCTTCTGACTCACCCGCAGCCGCGGCCACCTCGGTCCGACGCGCGGAACTAGGTACTAGCGGAACCGCGCGCTCCGGGCTACTTGCGGGTGAAGCGGACGCCGGCGGAGCGCGGCTCGACTGTGCGCTTCCTGGGACGCCTGCGCAGTAGCGGTCGCCCACCCCGCCGGGGCCAGCGGGACGCCGCGGAGACCGGCGCGGCTCTGGCGCTCCCAGTGCGCAGCTGCCGGACACCGCGCGGAGCCACTGCGGCCACCGCGGAGTCTGAGACGCCTACCTGGATTGGACGCCCCAGCCAGCTGTGAATGGGACTCCCCTTCCCATTGGCTGGTTTCCTGTACCACTCGGAGACAGGTGGAGTTAAACTGGACCTAGGGGAAAAGGTTTGCTCCTTTCTCTCCCGCCCTGCCCTCTTCTTATCGTCCGAGTTATGAGTTCCCAGTTTTAGCCAGAAGATGAGAAAGTCCCTTCTGCCTTTACCTGTACAAGAAAAGAAACTTTGAAAGAACCAGTTCACTTTTCTGGGCATGTTTCTGCTGTTTTGGATTCCTCTTCTGTTATATACTCTTGCCTGCAATCCTAACTAAGAATCAGAGTCGTCAAACTAAATCTGTTCCAGTTTTCCCTTTCACACAGCTAGAATGTGTATGTGAAATTCTCTTGCCTTTAAAAAGAGTATCAGTCATTTAAAAATCCAACTTCACACTTAAGAGACTTGCCAGAGATAGATTTATTTAATGTTTGTGTTGTCCAGGCACAACTGACCGAGAGGCTGGTACTTTTCCTTGTATCTGTAATGCCCAAAGATGAAGCTGTCACTTAAGTAAGTATTTACTCTTTGTTGGATTTAATACGGTATTTTAAGGTACTCCGGGTTTAGTATCCCCTTCCTCTGCTAAAGTGCAAGGGCCCAGAGAGTATCCTCATTACTGAAGCCACACCAGATACTCAAAACTGTACAATGGAATGAGTTAAGTATGTCGTAATCATACGCAACAACCTGAAGTCTGAAAGCTGAGCTGTGAACCCAGTAGCTGGATGTATCTGGTACCTGCAGTTGTTGTCACTGAATGCCAGACAGAGTTTGATACCTTGGTCTGACCTGAGGGGATTGCCGTAACTAAGACCACGGGTATGACAGAGGGAGCAGTTTGAATCGGATTGTCTCCTGCTCGTTAGTGGTCTCCCTTGATAAACTGATTCCAGTTTCAAGCCCCCAATAATCCCGGGTGCTAGAAAGTGGAGCATCTTGGATCCACAGGTCGTCTCTGCTGAAATCTTGGTAGAAGTCATCAAATTCAGCCCTAGAATCTGCCAGCACTGAGTAATCTTGGGCACTCGCCTCAACCTGTGTGAACTTTATCTCGTCATTGGCACAGGTGGTTCTGCAGTACCGACCTCTCAGGATTCTTGTCAAATAAGTTCTTGAAGGCACACTAAGCACTTGGCATACTCTTTGATCGTGGTATTAGATGTGATTGTCGTGAAGACTGCCCAGAATGTTCCCCATTTTGAACAATAGGTAAAATGGAGTTGCAGGAGAAGTTACGTAGTGCACAGTTTAGCAAACTGCATTTTCTGCATTTGGGCGCCAGTTCTGCATATACTGCTGCTTCCTTACTAGGGACACAATTGCTTTTTTAAAAAAAGCAGAATTGAGTGCTGCGTGGGTGACACGTGCAGTAAGAGAACAATGTGCTGTCCCCAAGAGAAAGAAACACTTCTACATCCCCTGCTACTGCCTGGGTGTGGATCCGTTCAGAGACCCTTGCATCTGGTCCCCTCCACGTGAAGATAAGGTAGTCAAAAACTAAGGGACAAAACGATTCCTGTTGGCACTAGATTCCTGCTGTCTCTCGTATTATTTCTCCCATTGGCCAGAATTGAAATCGTGTGTCAAATACACCTGGATGATAAGGGTTACTTGTTTCCTGAAGAACAAGAAATCCAGAAAGAAGGTGCACTTTGGAATCATTGACTTTGCAGTTCTGTGTGGGAGATATTACTCATGCACACTGCTCTGTTTTTCTACCTGGAAATTGATTGGCTTCTGGTTCTTTTCATGGTAAAGATAACTACCTACAGGAATGGTAAAATCCATTTTTTTCATGCTCCCTGGGTAATACACGGGACTTCTCCAGGGTTTTGTATCTTAGTGGCGGCACCTCCAATTCAGGTAGACTAGTTGCTGTCTTGTATGCCCCACTCTGAGGGAGTAAAATCAAAAATAGGCAAGCACCTATTTTCCATCCATACCCTAAGCTGAGCACTGGGCAGGAACTATTTTTCTCAAACTTCTTTCTTCTTTAGTAGATTTGAGATGGAGTGGGTGTTGGAAAGTCCACTAAAGTGTTCTTCTAGATATGGATGTTTGGTTGGAAGTGTCACCCCAGCCTTTGGCACCCCTGTATCCAGAGAGTCTGGGATGTTTGGTTGGAAGTGTCACCCCGGCCCCTGGCACCCCTGTATCTAGAGAGTCTGGGGTGTTTGGTTGGAAGTGTCGCCCCAGCCCCTGGCACTCCTGTATCCAGAGAGTCTGGGGTGTTTGGTTGGAAGTGTCGCCCCAGCCCCTGGCACCCCTGTATCCAGAGAGTCTGGGGTGTTTGGTTGGAAGCACCACCTTAGCCCCTAACATCCTTATACCCAAAGAGTCTGTAATGTTGGGTTCAGGCTTCACTCCGGGCCCTGGCATCTGTATAGCCAAAGAGACTGGAATGTTTGGTGGAAAGTTCCATCCCAAGCCCCCTTCCCCTGGGAGTTGCCTCAGTTCAGACTCCACCTCCCAAGAAAGCCTGCCAAACAGTGTCCCCTACCCAGAGAGGCGCAAGACCACTCCCACAGGGTATTTAAACTGCCCCACTCCCCAGACCTAACCAGTGATCTTTCTAGTCTTCCTTCCCCCACCTCCTCTCTGAGGGCCTGGAAGGCCTCCTGGGAGCACTGGCATGCACTAAACCTGGGCCTTTTCTAATTCGGTTTGATTTGGTCTGATTTGGATTATTGTGTGAGTGGAGAGGTTTATTGGGCCATAAAAACTTTTCTGTGTAAAGGTAAAAGAATGTGACATTAATACTGATTTTCATTTCTAATGTAAATTTTCACATAATTATTGTTTTATTTAGGTAGACAAAAGAATACCATTCACTTAAATATTCTTTCACCTTAGCTTTTTGAAGAGCTTTGTAGAGAGGCTTTATGTTGTGGAATATAGTTTAAGATGTCCTATATTTGTTTATACAGTGGAATATTTGCTTAAAATGCAAAGATGTGTTGCATTCACTTTTTTAAGTAATTTATTTTAAAATGATCTTTTCTGATTTGAGGTACCTATCCCAGTTCCATTCCCTCAGCTTTTACTGTTTCCCCTACCTCCCCCACCCGACTCCCAATCTACTCCTCAGAGAGGGTAAGGCTTGCCATGGGGAGTCAACAATGCCTGACATGTTACTTTGATGCAGGACCAAGGCCCTCCCCTCTATATTTAGACTGAGCAAGGTGTCCCTCCAAAAAGAATGGACTCCAAAAAGCCAGTTCAAGCAGTAGGGAAAAATCCCGGTCCCACTGGCAGTGACTGCAAAGACTGCCCCAACCACACATCTGTGACCCACATTCAGAGGGCCTAGTTTGATCCTATGCAGGTTCCCCCACTGTCAGTCCAGAGTCAGTGAGCTCCCACTAGCTTAGGTCAGCTGTCTCTGTGGGTATCCTTATTGTGGTCTTGACCCCTTTGCTCATATTATCTCTCCTTCCTTTCTCCTACTGGTCTCTAGAAGCTTCGCCCAGTGCTTAGCTGTGGATCTCTGCACCTGCTTCCCTAAGTTGCTGGATGAAGATTCTATGGTAACAATTAAGGTAGTCATCAATCTGATTGCAGGGGAAGGCCAGTTCAGGCACCTTATCTGCTATTGCTTAGGGTCCTAGTTGGGGTTATCATTGTGGATTCCTAGGAATTTCCCCGGTGCC